AAGTAATGAATCTTTATCACCTAATTCTTTTGTCTGATCCAAGTTTCATCACTTCTAGTTAATCATCTTTTCTTTCATCATCTTCATTCTTTCATCACTTTAAATTATAATGACAGTTGTCTGTGAGGAGGCTGCATTTTGAATTTAAATGGATCTATTCTGCCTTTGTCTCACGCTCTAAATGAAGCTACCTGGCATGACATTAATCCTTCTGTGTCATAATCACTGACTTTCTATAAAAGATGGACAGTCACTGTGACATCACCCCTTTAGTTAGTTCTGTTCTGTTTTAACATCTTGAGTCGAGAATTTTGTCCATCTTAGTTTAAATAAGGTGGAAGCCACAGTGTAAAATAAATTCTTCTTTATTGTCCGTCACACAATGAGCATCATGTTGTATAACACACTGCTCCCCAGGCGCTAGATTGGGGGCTGCCCACTGCTTCACTGAGTGAATGGGTTAAATGGGATCAATAAAAGATACATTTTTATTATTATAAAATAAGACTTGGTCATTAATTAGAGGCCAAAAACATATCAATAAACTGTTTACTGAGATATTAAATGTGGTGAAAAGTAAGTTCATTTTGCCATGCATTGTCTGGCTTCTTTTTACAGTTAAAGATGTTGCAGGTCTTTGCTTCTTTTATGAGATCTGGAAGCTCTGCCCATCTTTTATATACAGTCTGTGGAGCCTATAGATATGTCTTTATTATTTCTTTCTCTCTTATTATTTCTTATTTCTTTGTTATTTTTTGCACCATTTGACTTTGTCTGTTTCAGCACCAAACAGTCTCCAATTCACACAATATTCTCTCATTTTTAAGGTTAAATAATAGTAAAAAAGTTGGACTTTAAAACAAATGTTTTTTTTATCTAGAAGTTAGTTTTTGTTTTCTTTGAAGTATTGAAATACTTCAATGTTTTTTCTTAATACTTACTTGAGTATAGTGAGAATCCCCAAGGATTTTTAAAGTTAGAGCTAAAGTGCCCCCCCAATTCTTAGGTTTCCTGTAAATTCAGCAAATTGAGGCTGGATCACGAACAGGGTCAGAACGCATCTGGTTAAATACAATTTTACCTCCTCCTGTATTGGCGGCTGTTTCTGCAAATACAGGAAGTTTTCAGCCTTTGATGGAAGGCGAGATGTCCCTTTCTTTATTTCGACCAGGCCGGCTTGTCGACCCAGTCGGCCCTGCAGTGCAGCCTCTCACCGATTGTGTGCCCCCAGAGTCCCATAAATTGTAGAAACCTGCATATGCCCCGTGATAGTGAGATGCTTTCTAGCAACCACAACAATTCCCCTTTCTAACACTGGTGCACAGCACAAATGTACCACATCTTATGCCCAGACTGTGGCCTCTTCAGCCATCTGTAAGAACTGCCAGAAAGACTGTCGTACTTACCTTACTGTGATGGCTGATGAGTCATTGTGCCATATTCAGTTTAATGTTTTTGTTTTATGGTTTGCAGCTGAATAGTTGGTAAAGTCTCCTTTTAATGGCACAAAAAGGAGAAACCATAATTTATTGGCACTGAGTGAATGTATGCTCACTTATTCCCCGTTATTGTGAGTATAATTTTCTTTTTTCTTTTTTTTTCTTTCTTTTTTTTTTGCCTGTCCCATTTGGTTCTTTAGCCGTCAGAATTGTTGTCTGAAGACCAACAAGGATACCCAATGGATTTATTTTGCCAAATGGATCATCATGGCATTGCCGTATTGGTCCATTTGATCGACCTTTGTTTTTATTATTTATTTTATTTTATTTTCAGTTGTTACAGACGGGACATACATGAGTGAGGGATAGGAAAGGGAGAAAGAAAGAGGAAGAAAAAGAAAAACAGAAGGGGAGAGGGACAGTGAGAAAGGGGGAAAAAATATCTCCTGGATCACTTGTTGAGAGAAAAAGAATAGAAAACAAGCAAAAAAAACAAAACAAAGCAACATACTAAACACAACACCATCGCATTAATCTAGCTAAGTGTAAACAGCAGTTTACACAGTTTAAACAGCAGAGTATAATTTTCTCAGTATACTGTTACTAAACAATTGTGTAACTCTTTGGCCACTGTTTGTTACTGTTTGTATTTACTGTGCAAGGAACGGGGCTTGCAGACTAGCTTTGGCTATAAATGCATGTCTTGGTTCATGTTGCATATTGTGTCCTATAATAATAAAAAATAAATAAAGAGTAAACTACATATGAAATAAATACAGTTCTTATACTGCTACAGACTTATTCTGTGTCCTGATTTTTGCCCTCATTTTTCTCTGCATGGGTCTGGGGCAGAAGCAGGCTCCGGGCAGAAAATAGAAAGATGCAGCTCTAGTTTAGGGTTATGTTTTGAAGTCTTTTTGGTATATTTTCAGTTTTTTGCAGGATTCACAGCATCTGTCAGATTAATTTGAGCCTTTGAACTGTGGGAAGCCAGTAGTGGAGCAATGTGTGGTGTTTTAACTGGTGTAAAATATTACACCTTACAGAGGGGTTTTTTTTTTTACACATGCATTCTTGTGTTATTAAATATTCACTTTCTATGCAAGGTGAGCTAACAATTGTAACATTTGTCAGAATGACAGCAGAGAAACTTTCCATGCTCTAAGCAGAGAGTGGAATGTAAGAAGTCATGAAGCATTACACATGAATTACTGTGATTTTTCACTCTTTCTTCCATTCAAATACATTTTTGTAAAGTCCCATTCATTTTTATGGGACTGTGTCACACTTGTCAGTGTTTTTGCACGCCGTTACAAACTCCATCCTCCTGTGTAATGAAAATTTTATTTGACATTATAGCAATTTCCCTGAGCTCTAATTGTCCTTGGAAAGTAGCAATCATCACTCAGTATAACAGAAACCATTCCCCATTCATCAGCAGACATAATAAGCTTTATAGTGGTGACAATTGCAAGAGCGCTTTCTCTTCTGACTGCCAAGGACAATGAAAATGTTTGAAGTATATTTAGAAATTTGTACAGATGAATGCAGTGAATGTAATGTCAAACAAAGGAGAGAGAGGGAGGCAAGTTCTGGATCTGGATCTGGACCCTTCTAGTCACCATTAAAATGTATCAAAATATGTTTGATGCAGTGACCTGAAATTTGGTTCAGATATACAGATACACCTGTAGATGAATTATAGTCACCTTATTAATGCCTCAGAGTTTTCTTTTTACAGCACTGCAGTAAATCCACAACTACAGTGTTGCTATATAAACTCCACTGTAGACATGTAGTTTCTTAGAAATGTAACTTTATGTCATGTCACGAACTGCAGGCAAAGGGAATCCAAACGTAGATATGTGGAGACAGGTTAAATCAAACAAAAGCAAGTCTTTATTTCAGCTGATGGGAAAAGTATAAAAAAGTACATAGTATGGATGGATAGATGGATAGATGGATGGATGGATAGATAGATTAAAAAAACACAGGTGAAGATAATCAAAAGCAGTGAGGCAGGAGGAGAAGTCAAATTAAACACAAGACACTAGAGACAAAAGACTATCAAAATAAAACTGGAAGGGAAAATTGTTAAATGGTGAAATGCAGACACATAAAAGGTGGGTTGACACAAGAGAATAAGACAGGAAATACTGAGGGAACAAATTAAACTCTAAAACTAAAACTAAATTATAACAAGTGCTACAGACTCCAAAATACTCAAGAAACCATAAAAATCAGTTTAAAAAAAATCTGTAGCACCAAACAAAAAACTCAACCGCAGTCATTCAGAACTCACAATCAGACCTGGGAACAAGAAATGTCCACATAACAAAACTTTATCTAATATGTGCTTTAGTCACACCTTTTTTTTTTTACTCAAAATACAAATGTATGTATTTAAAAACACAACATTGATGTTTGTTTTGAAGTATTAAGTTTTTTATCAGTACTGGTGTAGTGCAACACCGCTGTATGCGCTGTTTTAATAATCTGTGTATAGACTCCATTTTTTCTCTCCCTCCCACATCAGCTTGCTGGCAAACTATGGCACGTCGAGTCTACAGCATCTCTACATCAAGGCTAACATTAATTTAGTAAACATGAACTCACAGTAATGTTCCCATTAGCATCACTTTGTCTGATGTTAAAGATTATGTCTGCTAAACCTTTGGTGTGAAACTTTGGTATAATAGCATAGTTTTGGTGAAACTCTTAAATGAAAGAGCGACTGCCTTGGCTTTTAGATTGTTTTAGATGTGGTTTGCAAAACTGACTTTCAGTTAGGAAATTCTAACAAAAACCTTAGTAAAGGTTTTCTCTAACTTCTTCCACCCTGGTACATTCACTGAAGAGGCCACTCAGGACTATTACGACTGAAATAATTGCAGTAACTTTTTGCGCTTCAATGCAGTTTGAAACTTTTTGAGTTTTAGGTGGGAGTATGTAGAACATGTGCAGTAACATCAGTGTTTCCTGGCTCATTATAAAGCTGTTTTTTTATTAGCTTGATGTAAAATTGTAAGTATTTGCTGGTGTTTTTCATTTCTTATAATGGACTAGTGGCACAGTTATGCCGATTTTGTTGTATTTCAAATTCCTCTCAAGTGTCTCCTATTCATTGAGCCCAAGGTTGTTCATGTTGGCCTTCGGTTTTGCAGCTTTTGCTATATTTTAGATTAATTGGTACTCAGTAGGTTAGTGGAAAAATGACTTGCTGTTTGATCGTGACCGTTTTTAACAAGATTTCATCTGAATTATGAATAATTTCTGCCCTGACTCGTCTCTCAGATATTGCATTACCTGTATGACTCAAAATCTTTACAGACGCTAAATACCGTGAATACTGATTAAATTTAACTTCGACCTTCAACTAAATCATGCACGACTCGTGTACCGTTTCCCTTTTATGTGAGTCACTTATCTGAGGGACACAGATAAGGGTTCAAGGAATCTTCAGGCGCAAAAACTTTTCATCCAAGGTCTTGAGCTCACTTTGGCTTTCGTAAGTTTCCCTGTTGTTTTTGACAGTGTTGTGTTATTGATTGTTCTTCACAGGAGTTGGAGCAGCAGTTTGAGAGGGAGCGTCAGTCACTGGAGGAGCAGAAGACGCTGCTCAGGCAGCAGCTGGATGAGCTGAGGGAGGAGCTGACGTCCAAACTCAATGCGGCCACTGAGGAGGTACGACGCATTGACTTTGTAAAGCTTCTGTTCAAGTGTGCAAACAATATTGTGGTAAATACGCTGCTCAAAAAAGTTAAAGGAACACTTTGAAAACAGATCAGAAGCATCTCAATGGAAACAAGAAAAAACTGTAAGGTTTACATTTTATTCTTGACCTTTTAAATCAGTTTAGTGCCCATATATATATATATATATATATATATA